TAGAGAACGAAGAAATGGAGGGCTAGGAAAACAAGAGCTATGGAAGGGGCTTCCATATTGAGGAGACATTAAAAAGGCTAAGCTTATTCAGTTTGGAAAACAGATGTTTGAGGGGGGCATGATAAGGGCTTACAAAATGCCAAACAGTGAAGAGAAAGTAAATAAGGATGTATTATTTACTCTCCCTCAATCCAAGAACTAAGAGTCACAAAATGAAACTATTAGGTAGTAAGTTGAAAACTAACAAAAGGAAGTTCTTTTTCATCCAACTTATAATAAAAGCTTGGAACTCATTGCCACCAGATGTTGTGGAGGCTGACAGTTTAGCCAGATTTACAAAGGGGTTTGAAAAATTCTTGGAGGAAGGGCGCATCAGTAGCTGTTAAGCATGGGAGTTAAGGTTACACCTCTGAATCAGAACTTCCTAGACCGTAAATGCTGGAGGCTGCAAGTGAGAGAGGAACAATGGAAAAAAACCCTGATAATACCCAGTTCACTCTCGCTTTCAGCATCCACTCTCTGCCCCTGTATGATACAGGCCTATTTGCCACTCCAGGGTGGTAGAATAAATGGGAGCTGTGCTACATCTTCCAGAGAAGCTGGATCCACAAGTGGACGAATGTACCACACACAGTGGTCACCTAGAGCTTGGAGCTTCTCCTGCCTCTCCCGACACTCTGGGCAGAGGGATGGTTTGCCTGGGTTGACCACCAGGCTCCTCTCCAGCTCCAGCACTTCTCTCTTGAGCTGCTGCCTGGCTGCCTTCCTCTGCTGCATGCCTCAGGTGTAGCTGTAGCAAAGAAGCTGGACAAGCACCTTTTCCATGTTCCACCATCTCTGAGCCAAGGGGAAGACCAGCCACTGTTCACACCAGGCCAGCCAGGACTCCTGGAAGGTTGCCATAAAGTTCACATCCTCCAGCAGGCTGTTGTTAAAGTGCCAGTAGGCCGTTCACAGATGCTTGGCCCACAGCAAGATATGAACATAGACAAGGGGGTGGTTGTGGATGGCGGCTGGCCTAGTGCTTGGGCAGTGGTCATCACTGAGATGTAAATTCCAGCCAACCAAGAATGGTGTACCTACTCCTCTTCTTCTCTGACAAAGGTGAACATGGTGGTGTCGTTGGAGTGGCAGGTGCATCAGATGTTCACCAGGGAGTGGTGCGAGAGGACCCCCCTGAGGATGTCGGTGGTGGTCTGGCTCCACTCCCTGCATATACAGTCCTGTTCCTCGTGTGACATAAAAGTTCCTGCTGAGGACCAGGCATTTGTGAGAATTGAGGGTGCTGAGGTAGATGGCTGCTTGCCACTAGAACTGGGCTATCTCTGAGTCGTGCCCAGGGCATGATGTTTAGCAGGTTCAGGACAAGCCCCTGTGCCTGGATCCAGAGATGGAGCAGGAGGGCCAGCACCACCTCAGTGTCCTGGAGGATTTCTGGGTGCAGGCTCCGGGAGAACAGGGTGGCTACCCCACACAGTGTCTCTGAGGTGGCTGAAGTACACCCTATCTCCCCACTTCAACCGCCAGCTGGCTTTGATGACCAGAGTCACGTGGGTCTCCTGCAGGACAAGCACGGAGTACCCCACTCCCGAAGGAAGGAAAGTACCTGGCACCTGTGGAGACCTCTCCTGCAGCTGTGGACATTGAGGGAAATGTTGGTAAGCAACCTCACCCCTGGGGGGTGTCGGCACACTTAGCAGAAACCTTGCAAGTGGCATTGCCAGGCATGGGGCCTAGCAGCAACCCCATTGTCCTCCCGTAATACATACCAGGCATCATAGAAGCTGCATGCCTGGGTATAGGTCCTGACCTTCCCCCACCAGTGCCCTCATGACATTGAAGCTGCGGTGGAAATCCCTCCAGTGGCCCAGGGTGATCTGCACCTTGTTCCTGGAGGGCCACATGCTCTCCAGAAACTGGAGAGGCTTCTCCTGTTGGAGCCAAGAGGTCTGCAGGCTTTACAGAGTCCTTGGGCTCGCAGTCATCCTCCTCCTGGCCCCATGTTTCAGCAGCCTCCTCCTGACTGCTGGGCGGTGGCTGTTTCCCCCTCCTCCACCCTGGTGGGCATGGAGATCTGGTGGAGCAGTGTTTGAACCACCCAGTCCATTACTCCCCTGACACTGGCACAGGAAACGGTGCAGCCCCATGATGGGGATAGGGTGGGGTCAGCTCAGGGCATGGCAGGTCAGAACACAGGGGGTCTGCGCAGGGTTCCCCTTGGGTTTGTTCTGGGTATTGGGGGACCCTGCTTCAATCCGTCTGTGTTGGGACCACAGGGCAGGTCTGAGATGGTTTCTGGGATGGTTTTGTGTGGGCTGTAGGGCACCATGGTGACATCACTGCCCTCCCCAAAGCCTTCAGATCTGCCGCCTCTTGGTGGGTTGGAGGGGGACTCCCTTCATGTTGGAGGGCCTGAGCTGCACCTCGGGCTTTCACTTGGCTTTGGCAGCAGTACACTGCCCAAAGGGGACCAGCACCCTTTCAGCCATGGGGTGGTCCGTGGGTGGATCAGTCTCAGGGGGAGGCGGCAGCATGGGACTGGGGGGAGGCATAGGGGTGGATGGGGACAGCAGCAGGGATGCCCTGCTCCCTCCTCTCTTGTGCCTGCATGCCCCATTTTCCTGGGACCCCACTGCTACCTGAGGAAGGAAGAAAACTCCCTTGCCATGGAATCTGGAAGCTGCCATGGTCTTGCAGGCCCGCACATAGGTTTTAAAGTGTAGGCCCTGTTTCTCAGGCAGCTAGCATCTCACCCCCTGCTTGCAGGTGAAAGTTGGGAAGGGGCCCCCACTGCTTGAGGTGGAAGGGGCAGTGGAAGGCCCAGGCTTGGGCACAGTGGCCTGGGTGTAGCTGTGGTTTCTCAGCTGGGAAGCTGCATTGGCAGGGCTGGGGAAAGGCTGAACAGGTGTGGTGCTCCCTGATGAGGTGCATGTGGCCCCATCGGGTGCTGGTGGTTTGGGCTTGGCAGTCAGCCCTTTGCCCTCCCAACCCCCCAGGTGAGCCCTTGCTTTTGCCCTGAGTCCCTCTGGGGGGGCCCTGTGGGGAGCCTGGCCGGGGAGCCCCCTGGCCCTGCTGGTTCCCCCCTGCCTCATTGCCATCCCCTGTGTTGGGGTTTGCTGGGGTGGCAGCCTCCTCAGGGGGCTCCTGCCATAGGATGGGGTGAGGGTGTGGGGCTCCCCCTCCACTCAGCAGGGGGCTGTAGGGGTCAGGAGGGCTTCAGGGGACATCTCCTCGGGTTGTACAACACTCGGGTGTTGTGATGGTGGGGGCTGGGCCTGGTATGTGCTGAGGCAGGGGAGGGCGGGAAGGGTCCTGGTTGGTGGAGCGGGGCCGGGATGGGGGCTGGGGCTCTGCAAGGGGCTGGGTGGAGTAGGGCCAGGGGTGGGGTAGTTGATGTAGGCAGCAAGCTGAAAAACAAACAGTATGGCTATAGGAGACTGGGCAAGATGGACCTATGGACTGACCCAGTAAATGGCAGCTTTTATGTTCCTGGGGGCAGGGAGGAGGGAAGAGAGAGACCTACCCAAGAATAGCCAAGGCTAAGTGAGGAGGGGAGATTCCAGCATGGGATGTGGAACATCCCAGATCAGATTCAAGTCCCTCCCCTAAATCAGCCAGCAACCAGCAGTCACACTCATCCTGTGTCCTGAAGTGTTAACTCTGCCCAGCACAACTTGTAAACTGAAACCCAGTTAGCTCAGTCTCTTTCAGGCCCTTCTCAGAGTCTGGTATTGGAGCCTTGTCTGTTCAGACAAGCTGAAATGTGTCTTCTTCAGCAGGCTTCTGTACAGCTGAACCAATAGGACTCCTCCAGGAGAGAGCTGTCTAGATTGGCATACACTTGCAAATGTTAACTTTTGGTGCTTCTTAAATGGACAGGGAAATCAATTTGTGAGCCCTCCTTCACCTCTGTTGGGACCTGCAGTCAAGTCAACAAAACCACATGGTCAGGGGAAGAGGACAGGGCACAAGTGAGGCAGTTGACATGGCACAGCAGTGTCAGTGACCTGTTCCCCAATTTCTATTCCCACCTGTGACAGTTGGGATCCAATGCATGACTGGGCAGTGAACACCAAGGGCTATAGGCTGTACAGGAGGGACAGAACAGGGAGGAAAGGCGGGGATGTGGTGCTCTACGTCAAAGAACAATTCACATCCTCAACGAGTAGCACTGGGTCAGAGGAGGGGCAGACTGAAATGCTCTGGGTCAGAATACAAAGGGTTGGGGGGAAAGGGACTTAACAGTGGGGGTCTACTACAGACCACCCAACCAAGGAGAAGAGCTAGACTGGGAATTCTCAGGTCAGCTCATGGAGGCAGTTAAGTCAAACGATGTGGTCATCATGGGTGACCTAAACTATCCAGACATTTGCTGGGAAGCAGTCAGGCAGGTTTGACCGCTCACATAGGTTCCTAGCTGTGTTACAGGACCTCCATCTAACCCAGGAGGTGCACAGTCCCACCAGGGAAAATGCCTTGTTAGACCTGGTCCTGGCCACAAGCGATGACCTGGTGAGGGGACTGCTGGTTCTCGATCACCTGGGCGACAGCGATCATCGCCTACTGGAATTCACCATCCAGCGCAGGGTGGCAAAGGCCTGCAGCAAGACAGCAGCCCTGGACTTCAGGAGGTCAGATTTAATTGAGCTAAGGAGACTAGTCGGGGAGGCACTGAGGTCCTGGAGGGGAGGGGAGTTGGGAGTCCAAGAAGAGTGGTTGTTCCTGAAGGAGACGATGCTCCAAGCCCAAAGGGTGGCAATCCCAACAAGGGTCAAACGGGGCAACAGTGCTCAAAAGCCCCCATGGCTCACCAAAAGCATCCAGGAATGTCTCAAAGCTAAGAAGGAGGCATACATCCGATGAAAGGGAGGGGCCATCACCAGGGAAGACTATACCTCCGTTGCTCAGGATTGTAGGGGGGCTGTTAGGAAGGCCAGGGCGGAGATGGAACTGGGACTAGCAACCTGGACCAAGGATAACAAGAAATCCTTTTTTAAATACATAGGGTGTTAAAAGAAGGTTCCGGGTAACGTGGGGCCTCTGCAGGACACGCTTGGAAATCTGGTGGTCTCATCAGATGACAAAGCTAACCTATTTAACAATTTCTTTGCCTCCATTTTTCTGAGCAGGGACCAGGTCATTCCCCCCCACCGGGATCCCCGATGGTCCCAGGGGAGGCACAGCCAGGCCCAGGGTCAGAGAGAACCTAGTTGGGAAACTTCTGGTGGGACTGGACGTGTTCAGATCAGCAGGTCCTGACAATCTCCACCCCAAAGTGCTCAGGGAATTAGCAGAGGTCATTGTGGGATCCCTGGCACAGCTTTACGAGCACTCGTGGTGCTCTGGCGAGGTGCCAGAGGAGTGGAAAAGGGCCAATGTGGTTCCCATTTTCAAAAAAGGGAGTAAGGAGGACCCAGGAAATTATAGGCCTGTTAGTCTTACCTAGGTCCTGGGGAAGCTCTTTGAGAAAATCATCCAGGTGCACATCTGCGAGGGGCAAGCAGGGGAGTGTATGCTTAGGGGCAACCAACATGGGTTCATTCGAGGCAAGTCCTGTCAGACCAACCTGGTGGCCTTCTACGACCAGGTCACAAAACCCTTGGACGCAGGTGTCGTGGTGGTCGTAGTCTTTCTGGAGTTCAGGAAGGCTTTGACACTGTCTCTCACCCCATTCTCGTTAAAAAATTAGGCGACTGTGGTGTCGATGCCTACACAGTCAGATGGGTCACAAACTGGCTGGAGGGCCGCACCCAGAGAGTGGTGGTGGAGGGTGGATGAGAATAAAATGGGATTCAATACTGACAAGTGCAGGGTACTGCACCTGGGGAGGAAGAACCAGCAGCATACCTGCAGGCTGGGGAACTCCCTGCTTGTCAGCACAGAGGCAGAAAAGGATCTTGGAGTCATTATAGACTCCAAAATGAACATGGGCCGCCAACGTGGGGACGCAGTCAGGAAGGCTAACCGCACCTTGTCATGCATCCATAGATGCATCACAAGCAGGTCCAAGGAGGTGATCCTCCCCCTCTGTGCGACATTGGTCAGGCTGCAGTTGGAGTACTGTGTCCAGTTCTGGGTGCCGCACTTCAGGAGAGATATGGACAGCATCGAGAGGGTCCAGAGAAGGGCCGCCTGCATGATCAGGGGACAGCAGGGCAGGCCCTACAAGCAGGTTCTATAAGACCTGAACCTGTTCAGCCTCCACAAGAGAAGGCTGAGAGGGGATCTGGTGGCTATCTATAAACTGGCCAAGGGAGACCAGCAGGCAATGGGAGAGTCCCTGTTCCCCCAAGCACTACTGGGAGTAACTAGGAATAACAGCCATAAGTTGACGGAGAGTAGATTCAGGCTAGACATCAAGAGGCACTACTTCACAGTCAGGGCGGCTAGGATCAGGAACCAACTTCCAAGGCAAGTGGTGCTCGCTCCTACCCTGGGGGGGTCTTCAAAAGGAGGCTAGATAGACACCTTGCTGGGGTTGTTTGACCCCAGCATCCTTTCCTGCCCATGGCAGGGGGTCGGACTTGATGATCTGCTCAGGTCCCTTCTGACCCTACCAAATATGAAACTATGAACTATGAAACAGTAGCCATAGAACAGAAGAACAAATCCAGTTTCCCTGGCTTGCTCCTCCCTGTCTTGCTGGGAAGGCCTGGGGCCTGTCAATCCAGACAGCCCCAAAGGAGGCTTGCAAACAGGGAAAAATATCTTTATAGTGTGAATTACCTCTGCTGGTGTGAAGTCTTTATTGGGTGTAGAAGAAATGTGGGTGTGACAAAAGCAAAGGAGAATGGTGCTATATTTTCTGCACTGTCTTCTAGTCTAGGCTGTGCTTCTCAGACATGAAACACAGGGGGTGTCATAGATGACAATATGAGTAGTTTATTTGCTCTGTGGCTGAAGCTGAGATGTTTCCTGTGGACTATTCCTGAACTCTCCCATAGCACTGTCCATACCATGGATTTGAACCTAGATGTTCTTTGCATAATGCTGATGGCTAACTAGGCTCTGCAAATCCCTCCTTCTCTGCGACATTGTGTGGGTCTCTCTTCACTCTTCCAGGACTCTCTCAGTTCCCAGCCTTTTGCTGAGAGTGGGGAATTTGTCTGTGCATATTTGAAGGTCCAGTGGTATGAGCTGGATGATTCCTGAATCCATGCTGCCGGGATGATAGGAGATGCTGCAGATTCTCATTCATCTTGTATTCTTCTCCTTCAGTGTGGGATGTTTACCTGAAGGATTAACATCTGAGCTTCAGGCCAGGATTCAGGAGCTGGGTGGATAAGGGTTAAAAGGATCTGTGTTTATTGGGATGTTAGGGTGTTGGTGAAGGTCTACACAGCTGTTAGCTTTGAGTGGGAGATACAAAGTTCCCAGGGAATGAAGATTTGCTTCCCTGTAAGTCTCATCTGTATATGGGATGGTTTCTATTATTAACTCAGTTTCACCCCCTCTGTCCCTACTGCTGGGGAGGCAAGTAGGGCCAGTGCTTGGGGCTATAAGCTTTTGCTTTCCTGGAGACAGTTGCTCTTTCTTTGCTTGGGTTTGCAGCTGGTGTTAGGTCAGGGCTTATCTTTGGGTCTTTTGGTGTGTTTGAGTTGGGAGGATGGAGTCTGTTTGGGAGGGCAGCCAATGCACTGCACCATCAGGAGCAGCACCTTGCATGGCAATCCAGCTAGCCAATGTTTCTCCTCCAGCTAAAGTAAAGAGCAGTGTTGTCTGCCTTTTGAGGTTACTGCACCTAGCTTTTCCTGGCCATGGACCTTGGAAGCGGGAATGTGAAAGGAAAGAAACAGGACATTCTCAGGTTCTGTGCTTTTCTTCAGGAGTGAGCTGTAATCCTAATACTCAAGGGTTTTACATTTGTGTGGAAGGCACTGGTTTATCTGTATTCAGACAGAACCCAAGACAAGGACAAGATCCACCAGTTTAACTTCACTGTGGCCAGCACAAGATGGGATGGAGGCCAGGGGTTGTCTCAAGCCACAACTCTACTTTTCTGGTCCCTCAGCCAGCCAGAGCATGATCTTATTTACAGTGTAAGATTTGTTCTGATGAATGGCACCATGGCTCCAAAGACTTTTCTACCAGCTGGGGATCAAAGAGCTGTAGGGACCAACCCAGACTTTATTCCCTTCCTGCTCCTAGGGTGTTTTGGTGTCACCCAAGGGGGTTTGCAAAGCGGGCATATTTCAAAAAGTGCTTGCAAGTGCCTTGAGTTTTCTCAAAGGGAATCTTTTTAAACTCTGACTGGTCCACTCATGATGATTTGGTTTTGTGACTTTTCAGATAAGGATTGGAACTGCTGTGCATGCCTCCCTCATGTGATTTGTCTATTTATGTTCCACTGATAGGATTCTCTCTATCCCTGTAAAGTGCTTCCACCTCCTGGATGGAGACATAAGTGGTGGGCTGGTGATAGGAGGAAGAGGAGACAAAAGGGCTGTGTGAGTTAAGTCAAGGAATCACTGTGACAGTGAAGGACCCCTTTCTCCTTAGCCTAAGCCTGAGAGTTCTTGGTTCTATCTTGCAGCAAGTGTCTTGCTTTAGGGGGTGCACAGGTCATTTTTGCCTAGTGGAAAGCAACAAGCCTGACTCTAAATACGATCCAGGAAGTGAAAGACTTATGCATTTGCCTTCAGCAATAGGGATGTTACTGGGAATGCTAATTAGGGACTGACTTGGAAAGCTAAATAAAGCAGCAGGGCACTCCAGGCAGTTTATTAATGGGTGATTATTTCATGCCTCCTCAACTGTGTTGTGAAGCATAGTAGCCTAAGGCAGAATGCGTTAGTCTGAGAGGTGCTACAATCTTCAGGAAGTGCAAAGCATAGAATGTCTTGTTATGAAATAGATATAGAAATTGGAGGTGTAAGGGAGCAAAGTTCTGGCATTCCCTGGCTCACTATAGAACCAGAGAAGGTCTGACAGGAGGACAGAGGAAATCAAGCCTCTTATGGAATTGGCGATTGTGGAATTACACCTGTGTGCTTTGGAAAAGAGCAAGTTTTGGGACTTTCTGTTGGCTCATATGTACAGCCCTGACTCTCCAAGGCATTCACTTTGTATGGAATGCATGAACTAGGGGAATGGAAGGTGTCTGTGGATGCAGAGCCTTGTGCTAAAGGGAGTTTAGTGGAATGTTTTGCTCTTGGGAAGAAGATAATATATTGAATAAACTGGAATATGGAAGATAGGGCTGCTCAAAATGGCACCATTTTGTTTCGACTTCCATTTTGATGTTTTGATGGAACAGTATATTGTTTTGAGTTTGGTTTAATTTCAAAACCACTGTTCTGTTTCGTTTTGTTGAAGCTGTTTCAA